TTGGAATTCTTCTACAAGAAAGTTTCATTCATTTCTGAATACTCACTTGTTCATTCTGGCACTGGTAGCCACATGAAATTAGTTCACTGAATAATACTTCAATTCAATGATACCATTATTTATTTTGTTCTCGACAGTGACTTCACTTTACTCAGGGGAAACTCATTCATGTTGACTCCCATATCCATTTGATAGTCACCTAGCATTTTTATTCATTCATTATTTTTTTTATTTCTTCACACTGAATGATGATCCAGGCTAAATCATATGTGTGCCTGTCTATTGTCAAGGGAGACATTGTTTATGCTGTTGGAAAATTTCTCCAAACCAACAACTGAATACTAGCTAAATATGTGAGTTGTGAAATATCATCGCATTTAGACCTTTTATAGAACACTAGCGTGTGTGTGTGTGTGTGTGTGTGTGTGTGTGTACACTAGTATGTCTCTCCCTCTTTAAAACGTGGATATCTTCTAAGGACCTAAACTATATTATTATGTGGCAGGGCTCATGGCTTCTGTGTAGTTATTATAGCAATGATGGTCCTGACTTCCATTATTTTACTTTGATCACTCGAGTATAGAAAGTAGCTTCAGATTGTGAAATCACATCCCCACAAAGAAGAAGTTTACAAATAAGAATGTCATTTTACATGCAATTCATAGCCAGAGCATTTCTCATTAAACAATGTTATTCAGAGTTGATGCAGCTTATTCCTTTTCCACATGTCTATCCTTAGGTTCTTCACACATTTATAATACAGTGAGGCTCATCCCCACAGTTAGCAGGGATCCTTCTATATCATAAATATAAAGTTGTATGCTGTAAAGGTTATTTCCAATGGTATATTCTTTGGATGAACACGTGATTCCTCGAGCTTATACCTACCATGTCATTTTCCAAGCAACACAAACTATTCCTGTCACCATGCAGTTCTTTTTCACTTTTCGATGAGACTCTCCTACTCTGAGAACCCCTGTTTAACACTTGTATTCATCTTCAGTTTTTCATTTTACACATTGTTCTATCCATAGAAGGACTTCGGGTAAAGCCTTTTGAGTTCATTGTCTTAAATCTAGTGCAGTGTTCCTTAGTTTCATTCCTTTTGCATAAAGGAATGGCTCAGTTAGCTGCTAAGGAATATTCTGACTTGTATATTAGCCATGGTTTATCCATTTACCTGTTAAACCTGACATGTTTTCATCGGTGATAATTACAAATAAAGTTATATATGAATATCCACAATTTTATTATAATACAGTTGCAATTCATTTCTGTAAAAGTCTAGGGTAAGACCTGATTCTCCAAAAGGTAACTGTGCTAACATATGCAGAATGTGAAGCCTTTTTTCTGAAGTGACTGAACAATTGCACAGTGTCTCTCACTAGTAATGAACAGACATTTCTGCATTCTGAATCATGTCCAACATTTGATGTTCATAGAAAGTTGTTGTTATTAAACAGCTCTGATGGTTGTGAGTTAGTATATGACAGAAATTTAACACTTCTCTCATGTCTCCTGTTACCTATCTCTTCAGGTGCCATTTCTAAGTGATTCTAAATCTGAATTCAGATTCTTTTGCCCAATTTATTTTTGTGTTTGTTAGTAGTTTGATTACTTTAAGCATTATTTTAGATAGAAGGCTATTATCAGATATGTGACTACATCCTAGTCTCTAACCTGTGTTATCTTCTCATTTGTTTTCATGGAATAAATGTTCTGAGTTTTCACAAAATCCAATTCATCAGTTCTTTTTCCTTTGTAGATTCTGGGTTTTCTTTTCTTCCTTCCTTCCTTCCTTCCTTCCTTCCTTCCTTCCTTCCTTCCTTTCTTTCTTTCTTTCTTTCTTTCTTCCCTCCTTCCTTTCTTCCTTCCTTCCTTCCTTCCTTCCTTTCTTTCTTTCTTTCTTTCTTTCTTTCTTTCTTTCTTTCTTTCTTTCTTTCTTTCTTTCTTTCTTTTTTCTTTTGATCTGAAACCTGGAACTAAACTCCAATTTATACAATAGTCATTTATTTTTAACATTTTTATATCCACATTTTCTTTTAGATGAGATTCCCCAGAAAGTTTTATGTCAATGTAAGTAAAAGTGGTCTGAACTATAGAATGTACTGATCTATTTTTTTTCAAAACTTGAAAACTATTTCTAATATCACCCTTTTGATAAGTTGAGGATCCCAACAAGTTTCAAATATTAACCAATAGATAACATCTCTCATGCCATTCAGTTATCTGACAAAGCAGATCAATTACTTTGATATTTGGAAACATTCTTTTAAGCATTTTTCTGATACTCAAACTTAAGGAAAATCAGAGTCCCCATTTAGCACAGTTCATACACATTCACCTAAAAAGATGGCTTAAGCACTTATTTTATTTTATACCCAATTCTAGGTTACGATTAAAGGCAATATCATAGGTTGAGCTCTATAGCCCTGAATCTAACAAAATGGATATAGCATTTTTCCTTTCGTAATAGAGGTCATGAGACAAATCAACTGTTTAAATGTAGTCCTGCGCCTGCTCACCCCAAATAAAGGAAGTCAAGTTCAGATCTTTACTTCACAGAACAAAGTCTGACATAGCCTCTCCATTAATCTTTACTTTCTATGTTTAATTTTGGCATTTGCCTACAGACTTTGGCACAAACTTATTGAGACTTCAGCAAACAGTTGACTTGTGAAACTTCAAAACCACCTAAGTGATGATAGGGGAAGAACAAAAGAAGGCCAATGAGCATATGTACTCCGTGTGAAACCTTGTGGTTTCTCCCGCTATAGCAGTGCAAAGCTGGTTTTAGACATTCGTACAGGCCAGGAATTTAGAGACAGAATAAAGATATCCCAGGCAGAAAAAAAAAATGGATTTTCTGGCTTCCTACTGAATCTGTTTTGACTGGGATGATTGATTTTTTTTCTTTTTCTTCTTGTTTTTTCTTTTTCTTTTTCCTCTTCATGTTACTCATGTGGATCATATTTATCATGCCATGGACCCAGACTTATAGCTAGCTTTATCTTCATAAGATTATGAAAGCATGTGACCATACTGCTCTTCACTATATGGTTCCATGATGCTTCCTGAGGTGGGAATTGAAGTTTAATGACATCTAAAATAGTGTTAGTACCTCAGACTGACTGCCCACACTATCTAACATTCCCATCAGTCTGAAACCTATCTATATAAAGTTTCTTCTTGTGCTTTAAAATGTTGGCAAAGGTTACAACTGATTCTGGTAGTATTTTGTGATTCTGACCTTACATAATGAGTTAAATATTAACCTCCTGGCTATTGAAGCATCTTATGTAGATAGATTCATATCATCCTACAGGATTTTTGGAATTTATCAGTCAAACCAGATGAGCCTATATCTTTTTTTCTGAAGGTATTGGTAACTCTCCAAGTTTGTATTTGTAACTTATATGGAATCATGCAAATGATCAGGGATTTTTTTCAGATGATAATTTTACATTCAATATTCACAACATTCATAACTCTTATATTTCAAAGGAATCTTCTATTTCCTCAATGTTTCTGAATTTAAGGACATAAATGACCATCACATTCATAAATAGGATGTCCAATTACATTTCTACTTTATCCCTCATACAGTCTTAGAGATTTCTCTCTTAGCTTAAGAATTATTGATTTTATCGCACCTGTCAACAAATAGGTTTATTAATGTATTGTTTTTCTCTAATGTTTCTCTATATCAAAATTTATTAATTTTTAAAAATGTTTATCATATTTCTGCTTTCTATGTGTTATTCATGCTCTCTCTTTGGGAACATAGGTTGTTTCTGTTAGTTATTTCTGACTTCTTATATAAATGTTTTCCATCTAGCTACCATTTCAATTAAATTTTATGTACAGTAGTTTTATTTTACATTTTTTCAAAGTGTTTGATTGTTTAGATACTTCCTATTTGACCCATGGGAAAACTGACAAGTCTGTTGCTGAATTTTTAAATATTTGAATTGTCCCATGACTTTTGTTAATGATTTCCTCTGCATTAAGTTTTGAAAATATATTTTGCATGATATCTATCGTGAACTTTCATTTCCTTTTTCTTTAAGGTCCAGTTATGCTTTGTCTTAATGAATCTTTGAGTTTTACTTGAAATGAGTGTCTACTCTTGCTGTACATATGGTTCTAGAAATGTTAGCTAGATTGATTAACCTGATTGTGGTGTTATAGGACATCAGATCATTGAATTATATCATAGGTGTTCCCCTGAGGGCTAAAGTTGAAAAGTTGCTTAACATAACAGAGACATAACCAACTGAGATGACATTTCAGTGGAATCTTAATTTGGAATTAGAGTTTATGGTTTTGTGTGTTTGCAGAAGCCTATTCATAAACCCTCAAAGACAGACAAACAGACAGACAGACAGACAGACACACACACACACACACGCACACGCACAGGCACACGCATACATGTTCTAAGTGTAACAGAGCTCGTTTTAGATGTCTTCCAAAAACATGACAGGAAGTGAAAATATTTTTTCTTGTTCCTACTACTTAAGTCTTCTATCCATGGGATGGTCTTCGTAATTTTTACTATAAACATACTACTTTTATCCTCACTTGCCTGTCTGAACACATTGAAAGTGTATCTTGTAAAAATACTATATTCAGGACTGATGACTTAGGAAGGGTTGGGGTAAAATAAAGTCTATCAATTATTTAGCAAACTGCCCCATATGTCTCCCTCTGATAGTAATAAAAATTGATTGAGATTATGACTACTCTGAGAAGCATGGAATAAAAGAATCTATCTAATCTTCCCATTACAAACATTAGGGAATATTAGCTACCATAATCCATGGCATGGTTTATAGGAAGATAGCATGAAAGATACAAAATAATGGCTAACTTACATTGTATATTGTCCACAAAGTTTTGTTTGTAACACACACACAAACACACACACAAACACTTCCATGCTTCTTTGTTACCTCTGTGGCAACTTTATTGACACTCTTCTTTCTTTTCTTGAACAGGTGGGCTCTGCATTGCCCAGTCCGTGAGAATTCCCCAAGAACGCAAAGACAGGACCATTGACTTTGATAAAATTATCAAACAGCTCTTGGATACCCCCAACTCCAGGGCCGTCGTGATTTTTGCCAACGATGAGGATATAAAGTAAGGATGCTTGGTGAACCTTGTTCCTATGCATGCCACAGAAGGATGAGAATGCTGGCGTGGAGAGGAGAAGTAGAGTCAGAAAAAAGCTCTAATAACAAGGTGGCAAAATGTTTCATACATGCTTTTCCCAAACAGTTTGGCAGCTACAGAAGTATTAGCACAGCACCTTGGTGTCTTTAGCTTTATTTCAGTTAAAATCAAATGTATTCAATTCTTGGTAGAATGAAAGCACACTAGACTTTTAAAAGGTTGCAATTTTTAATTTTTATTGGATATTTTCTTAATTTACATTTCAAATGTTATCCCTCTTCCTGGTTCCCTCCTCCCCATGAAACCCCCTATCCCATTCCCCCCTCCCCTGCTTCTATGAGGGTGTTCCCTCACCTACCCACCTACTCCTGCCTCCCAGCCCTTGCATTCCACTAAGGTTGTAATTTTAAAACCATATTTAATTATTACAGGATTTTATTCCAAGAATGGTGTTTGTTAGTATAAAAGACATTTTATTCTGCTATGTTCATCGTTTAGCATTTAAACTCAGGACATCATTCTACAACCACATGCTATTTATGCCTTTATGCATTCATTGCCTTAAACTCCAAACTTATCACTTAAACTTCCCTTTGGCCTACCCTCTTGCTGCAAGTCTTACCACAAAGAGCCATCCTTTAGATTTCTTGAAGAAAACAAGTGGCCCCTGGTTCCTTTTCTGAACACTACAACCCAGTCCAGATTGTTTATTTTTGTCTTTTTAGAAGTTAACACTAATTTTACTTGACTAAAAAGGCTAAAATTTTTTTCTAATGGTGTCCAATACCCCAAATAAAATGCCTTACACTCTGTGTCCTGGCTAACATTTTCTGCTTTATGGATGACAGGACTCCTAGCTTGTCAATCTCTGGTATACCATTCTAGACACATTCTGTACCATGCTCTTGATCCATTTTTAAGTAGTCTGTAGATAGACTTCATGTGTCCACTCTTTACCTAGCTAGCCTTAGCATTTCACATCAGAGACCCTGACTCGCAGTGCCTGAAGATGTGTATAGTTTTTAAATCCATATGCATAATTTCATTTTACCTGTGTACTGCAGTTTATCCTGCTTTTCCCTTGTGGATTGACCATTACATTTTTCATCACAGAATTTTGCTATAAATAATAATGCCATAGTAAACTTCCTGTACAGAACTATGTGTGCTGAACTATAAATATGGAAATATGTAATAATAATAAATAATATGCTAAGTGATATGTAAATATATCAAACTAATATATTGTATCCAGTGTACACAAAGTATTTTAAATGTCTTCTTTAGCAATTTAATCATTGAATCCATCATTGTGCGTGCTCTAAGTTTGTATAGATGTAAAATTTTGTAAGTTAGATTCTGGAAAGTACTAAGATAAAGATCTGTTTTTCCTTATAAAGGCCATCAATACAACCATCTGAAGATTGCTAATTTATACTTCCCTTGTATGTAAACTTTATCTTGAATCCTGAAATTTCCAACCTTTACATGGAAAAGGATGGCATTTGAACTTGAGATGATTCACTGCATAGATCAACCCTGCTTTCTCCTTGAAACTGCTTCCTCACCTAGATCCCATTTTCTTTGCATCTCAGTACTCAAGAGCATCAATGAAATGGCAGGATTTTAAATATGTCCTATGAGAGCTCTCCACAGTCTAATTTCCCTCTGAACACTGCATGATGTACATACTGCTGGCGTGGAGGCTGCTTCTGTTTGCCCCAGCCTGCGGGGATTCGACGTGACCCTAGGGAAAAGGGTGAAAGAATGAAGGCACAAGAGACACAAAGTTGGAGAGCAAGTCTAGGGTTTTGATCAAGCTCTCTAACTTTAAATTCAGGCTGCAGGTTATAGAGACACAGAAAAATGGGAAGTTTAGGCAAGAGTCATTGCTTAGAGCTATCCCACTATTGAATCCTCATTGTCTAAGACCATCCCACCTTCATATCCTCATTGCCCAAACCATCCCACTGTCTTAACTAGCTCCCAGGAAATGTCAGACGTTCTTTGAGTTCCTGGGATCTGAGACAGTGAATGTCTTTTCATAACCTTGTACTTTAACTGACTAGGTTTTTCTAGAACAGCAGGTAATTTCATGAGGTTCTCTTAAAACAACAGGTAATTTCAAGGGTTTGGCTCCCAGCATCTGTTCTCTCCTTCCTAGGTCTTTCAACCATCTCTGCTGTATTTTCAAAGAAGATTTCTCTGACCAGATTATTTTGGAAAATTTTTTCCTTATAACACTTTAATTTTTTGGGTCATGCCAGTGGATTTATTTTTCTTGTTGTTGTTGAAGGGGTCGGATAAGTCTGTACTGTCCATTATCTTTTACCATCATTAGACCATATGATTTCTGAATGGTGTTTTTATCCTTACTGTCTGTCCTGATACTATGAAAATAGTTGAAGCTTAATCAATACCATGGAATGGATGGGTGGAATGCCAAGTCCACTGCTCAGTGTTTAATGATATAAGTGAAAGCTATTTTACTCCCTAAAGTTTAGTATTGTTTTTTCTTTATATTTGCTTGTTTTCGCTCCCTCTCCCTTCTTCCTCTCCTCTCTCTCCCTTTCCCATGCTCTACCCCTTTCTGCTGAACTCCATGGTTTTCCTTTAAAAAACAAGTAGACCACTTATGATCCTCCTGCCTCATCCTTTGAGTGGTAGGATTTGTACGAAGCTAATTTGGCTAAAATAATGTGAAAACTCGATTCAGTTTTTATCATTTTAACTTCACATATACCACATATGCAGTTGTGCACAGAAGTATTTGATCCAGATCTACCACCATGTTTCGGGGTGCTTCTTGCACATGTCTGTTACTAACAGCATTGCTTTACTGACTCCTGTATTTTTTTGTTTGTTTCTTTGTTTGTATTTCGAGTTCTCTTTCATATATGCCCTTCCTTGGAAAGATTAGAATATCCATTAAATATATCATTTTCCTTTTGATGCTCTGCTGTTTACATCATTCTTAAGATGTCTTATTCCCTTTTGCTTTTTAGTTACTTTTGAGTTTTTGTTTTCATTATAATGGTCTTTGGTTCTAGTTTTTCCCCTGATGGTACTAATATTCTTTTCAACCATTTTATTCATCTTTGTTCTGCTTACTTTAAATATTTCCTAGTATGTAATACATTTGGAAATGTATGTCTATGGTTTTTTGAAGATAGTTTTGTTATTAAAATTATAATATTTTTGACCTACAGTATATGACTTATATTTTAGGTAGAATATGCACATAATCCACACACAAAGTGTGCATATTGTTTTTATAATGGAGTTAATTTCTATTTTGAATAGTATTATGTATTGAGATTTATATGTTAGCATCTTGGTTTCTGAGCACAGTGATTAAAAGTTCAGCATGTATGTTTCTTCTAGAATGAGTTCTTAAAGGCAGAACCATCTGAAGATTACAGAATTCCCACAATGTTGATTCTATTTTCAAAGAGTGGAGATGGAAAAATTTGACATTTCTTGCAACATTAACTTCAAATACTTTGAGAATAGCGATAAGATTGCATTAATATCTCAGTTTTGAAGGGAAGCTAAATGGTAAATCAGTCATGGGTATTGATAATTTGGATTTTAAGGAATAACAAAATCTGTCTTCAAAAGTTGACTCTCCACATAAAACTAACACATGTCCACTGTAAATCCCTTAGAAAATGAGAAAGAGTTGCTTTTTTTTTATTTTTTAATTTTTTTAAATAAAATGATCCTGCAAATGTTACCACCCCCAATTCTATGGAAAAATTAAAACTCAAAGTAAATGATTACAAGTAATAATTAAAATTATGTCTTACAAAACCCAGAGCCTTGGCATTCAGAGACAACCTCTAATTAAATACAGTTTAAGATTTTCAAGACAGTTGTAAATGCACTTAAACTTTCTCCTGCAGAACGGAGATTGCCCAGGTTCTATGTGCACATGTTGTGATACAGATTAAAATTTTGCCACTGTCTGTATTTTGAGTAAGTGCTCACTTTTTCAGAGGTATCTGGTCTCATCTTGTTGTCTTGGCTTCTATCTAACTTTTCCACTGTATCCGATGTCATTACTTCTCCACACTCTTTAGCAACAAATTATCATCTCCTTCTGTGATTTAATAAAACTGCTTATTTCACACACACATAAAACACATGCACATGTCTGTATTGGCCAGTTTCATCATAGAGAAATGAAGAAATTATTCATAGTTTTAAAAATTACTTTTATGATTTAACATACAAACTAAATGTATTTTATTGAGAGTACCATTATTTTATTTGGGCAAAACACACACACACACACACACACACACACACACACACATATATATATATATATTACATTATTATGTTTGTGTGCACAGGCTCACATACATGCGTGAGCATGTGGAGATCAAAGGACAATGTGTGTGGGAGTCGGTTGTCTCTTTCCAGCTTGTGGACATAAAGAATAAAACTAAAGTCCTCGGGTTTAGTGCCAAGTACCTTTGTCCATGGAGCCCCCTCACCAGCCCTGTGTATTTAATTACAAGCCACCACTAAAGCACTCCAGTGTAGAGCATCTGCTTTCTGTCATGATCTCCACAATATCTAGCATTGTTCTCTTAGGCAGCTATTTCAACTCTTTAAACATCTCTGGGTTTACGTGCATAATGGGCCGACAGGCAAGGTTAGAATCATTGATTCCCTGCCCTGTTTATTTATTCATATCTGAGATGATATAAACCTTTAAATCTCTTCTAAGGTCCCCACATCTTTATGCCACATTTCTATTTATTGTGTGAAAATTAGTGTTCACATTATTATGAGTATGTAAATACCTAACTGCAGAATCAAACACTTATTTTCTCTTGGTGCTATGATGTAAATTCTTTTTTGCCTAAAGTTAATATGATATTATTTTATTTAGTTTTTTAAATTATTAAGTTGTTTTAGTATTTTCTCATTACTATTGACATTACAGACATACCCCTTTCCCTTCTAGTTTATAAAACAATAATCTCAAGCTCAAATATTTTTGGATATACATTTCTGAAAATTCCATCATTCATACTGAATCTGGGAGAAGTTTCAGTGTTGTTAAGATTTCTCCTTCCTGTATTCTCTCTCCCTCCATGACCTCTCTTTCTTGTTCCCAAACATTATTTATAATGCATATATATATATATATATATATATATATATATATATAACATATGTGTTTGGTAATGCATTCTTAAATAACTTCTTTTGAAATAGCTATCTAAAGGAAAACATATTTCAGGGCTGAAGAGCTGGCTCATTATTTAAGAGTACTTATTGCTCTTGCAGAGAACCCAGCACACACATTCCACAGCTCACAACTGCCCTGTAATTCTACTTCAGGTCCTCTGAAGGACATCTGCATGTGTATGGTGCATTTAAACTCTTCCAGCTATACATATGAATAAAAATAAATATATCATTTTCTATAAAAAATATTATGTGTTTGATGTCTAAAACTTTTCTTAATCTGATTTCACAATTAATATTTGGCAGGTTGACATTGTGTCTCACATTTATTAAAACAGTATTTGCCGCAGAAATGATTTAGTAAACAATGTTGATTACTTATGTGTTGGAGAATTCTTTATTTTTATTACATACTAAAGTCTAACTTTTCAGTGAAAAGGAAATCACAAGTACACTGAGTACATGTGAAAATTCTCTGATTAACAACTAATAATCTGATTTTTTCTGCTTTTTTTTTTTAGTTTTCTGAGTTCTCTGCTTTACAGGACATATTCACTATTTGTAAAGTTATTGTTTTGTAACAGGTTTTGTTTCTCTATTTTTACAGTGGTTTAACTTTTTAATTCACAAATTTATTCTCTCAATTTCTCAGTCAATGGGTAACAATAAAGTATAGAAACAATCTCTGAAAATGTTTTAATAACAAAAGTTAAGAAATTCAGTTTAAAATAGTTTATTTTTTTGCACATTTGTTCAGGAATATTGACTATATGTAATCTTACACTTGTTTTAACTTTATTTTTAACATTTGATTTTGTTTTCTTAACCTTTCTTTCTCAAAAGGAACTGCAATTTTTCATTTTTAAAAGACACATTCTTTTTTATGTAAGTCATTCTTTCCATTATCTTGCTGTTGGTTATCCTTTTACATCTGAACTAAATACATTTGTTATTTGACACTTTCTCCTATATCATTTCTTACTTCTACACTGATGTGCTTTGCCAGTGAGGTCTTCTTTTACCTGTGGAGACTTAGGGTAGGCACTAGATAGCTGTAGACATAAACTTATTAGCTGATGAGGTGGGAGTAGCTACTAGAGAGTTCAGGATGCCAGGGAAGCAAGAGGCTCCAAGGACACATCAGGGATGACATTAGCTGAAAACCCAACCAAGGGGGAAAAGAAGGTGTAGAAATCATATTCAGAGGTTAAGCATGGTCTCCAGTTGAGGGATGGGGCCACCTACTCATCTCAAAAATATTAACCCAGAATTGCTTTTGTCTAAAGGAAATGCAGGAATAAAGAATAGAGCCGAGACTAAAGGAAAGACCATCCAGGCCCTGCCCCACCTAGGGATCCATCTCACCTACAGTCAGGACTCTATTGCTGATGCCAAAAAGCACTTGTTGACCAGAGCCTTGTATAGCTGTCCCCTGAGAGGCCGTGCCAGAATCTGACCAATACAGATGAAGACACTTGCAGCCAACTATCGGCCTGAGCATGGAGACCTGAATGGAAGAGTTAGGGGAAAGACTGAAGGAGCTGAAGGGGTTAGCAACTCCATCGAAGAGCAACAATATCAACCAACTAGACCCAGAACTCCAAGGACTAAACAACCAACCAAGGAGTACACATGGAGAGTCCCATGGTTCCAGTTGCGCTTGTAGCAGATGATTGCCTTATCTGGCATCAATGGGATGGGAGCCCCTTGGTGCTGTGCCCCAGCATAGGGGAATGCTAGAGTGGTGAGGAGGAAATGGGTGGATAGGTGATCTAGCACCCTCATAGAGGCAGGGGGCATGGGGGAGGGGATGGGGGTTTGCAGAGCAGAAACCGGGAGGGGAAATAACATTTAAAATGCAAATAAATAAAATAACCAATAAAAAAAACTTATGGGGGGTCACAGTAGTTATAAAATTGACTATTTTATTAAATGATTCCTGCCTGTCATATTTGTAGATCTTTCGCCAGCAGTCCATAAAGAAACAATCCAGAATACTGTTTTCCTCCTGGTAGAATTTGGTTTTTAAGGAAATGTTTGATTCCTTTAAGTAGCCTCACTCTTCAGTACTTAATGAACTAGTGCTTGCTTATTCCTTCCCACTACTTTCCTCCTACTTCATATCACAAGTTTTCCTCTACCTGTTGTTGGATGGTCACACTATTAGGGAAAAATTTCTTATAATTTCATTTAAAAATTAGCATTCCATTTCTTTTGTCTGGGAGAAAGAAAATGTAATCTGAATTCTCACTATCTCATATTTTGTCTTTAAACACATCCTCATTTCTTTACTTCTGAATCTGTGTATGATAGTTTAAAGTCCTGAGTGCTAAGAATGTGTGTGTGTGTGTGTGTGTGTGTGTGTGTGTGTGTGTGTGTGTCGGGAGGGAGGAACAATGCAGGAAAGAGAGGGGGAGAGGGAAGGAGTGTGTGTACCAGGGCATGTGTGTGTGTATGTGGGTTTGTATATGTGGGTGAGGTTGTGTGAGTACATTAGTATGAATCTATGTCTATGTATATGTATAAAAGTATATATATGCTTGTGTGTGGATGGATATATGTATAGAATGTGTACATGTGCACAAATCTGTCATTTTTACCTCTTTCCCATATCCCATTATGATAACTTTCTCGCTGATACTTTTTTCCTTTTAATACTTTTTCTCTTGTTGCCTCTGATATTTGCCCACCATAGTAATCTGTAAACACAAAAAATGAACTTTCATGCTGAAAGTAGAATCCTGGATTTTTTAATAAATGACTGAAGAACTATGATTTATATTGACATAGTACCTTCTAGAAATGAGACTTACTTTCCACCTGAGATACAAAGGTGCAAAATGAAGTAAAATAAAACTTTATTTGGCCGATATGGGAAAAAAACATTTAGAATCTTTTTATAAGTTTTGCTTTTACAATTTTTTAAATCTTTATAAAATCATGTTATTTATTTACATTCCAAAAGTTGGCCCCCTTCCTGTTCTCCCTGAGTTCTTCACCCAATCTCCTCTCCCCACCTTGGAGAGGGTGTTTCCTCACCTGAACACCCTGCTTCACCTCCACCAGAATCCCTCTTCCCTCAGGCATCAAGTTTCCACAGGATTAAATACATCTTCTCCCACTGAAGCCATCTAATGCATGTGAATATGCATAGTCAGCTTACTGCAAGCTTATCCGTCCTTTTATCTTTGACACTTAACATCTTTAATTTGTTTTACTCAAAGGGCTTTAGCATTTTTGATATTGGCTAACATACCTCTTTACATATGTAAGATAAATATCCTCATTATATCTTTTCCTATTGATCACTTATGTTTTGAAATTGCAGGGCTTTTTTTTTTTTTTTTTTTGGCTCTACTTGATTTTGAAAATGCTTGGGCTCAGTTTCTATACCTGTATCCTTTTGTGTGCTTCTTTCCATAGGCAGATCCTTGCAGCAGCCAAAAGAGCTGACCAAGTAGGACATTTTCTCTGGGTTGGGTCAGATAGCTGGGGTTCCAAAATCAACCCACTGCATCAGCATGAAGATATTGCAGAAGGAGCCATCACCATCCAGCCTAAGAGAGCAACTGTGGAAGGTATGTGTTTTGACACCAGTGGAGTGTATGAAGAGGGGTGCTACATGGTGTTGGGTGACCCAAACTAAAGTCTTTGGGGGTGTTTCATGTTTGTACAGAATTTATAGAGTGCGTTTTGCAGAGTAGGATGATGGAGTGCAAATGAAGCTGCACACCTGGTCTGTTCCCTTTGTTAACAATCCTTTTCTTGTAGAGATTATATTATTTCATGGTAATGTTGCAATTAGCATAGATTCTTTTCTCACTCAGAGGAGCTTTCTGAGGAGAGATCATCACCATTACTAAGAACTGAAACAATAACACATCCAAGCGTGTGTGCAGCAGCAACCCTGCATTTTCAGAGAGAATATTTTCCCTTTATAATTTACCCTTTGCTTCTAACATGACAACTGTAAGGATCACGTGGCAGCTACCTCTGTGATCCCTTCCAGAGGCTGTGATTATAAAGGACTTGACTCTCAGCAGCTACCAGCCTCACCTTCTTTTCTCAGAGCCCTCTCTCACTATTCCCTTGCTTTTCTACTTTTCATTTTTGTTGTTGTTGTTGTTGTTGTTGTTGTTGTTGTTTTTTCAAGACAGGTTTCTCTGTATAGCCCTGGCTGTCCTGGAACTTTGTAGACCAGGCTGGTCTCGAACTCAGAAATCTGAGTACCTCTGCCTCCCAAGTGCTGGTATTAAAGGCTTGTGCTACTACAGCCGACTGCTTTTCTACATTTTTACAACCTCCCCTTTTTATTTTTCTTCTTCTTTTTTTGAATCTGTTATTTAAAAGACCCTATGAGGGCCATTGGGAGGAAATGATATTTTGTGGTATTCTCATAATCTAAATAAATGGATTGATTGCAGTTAATGTTTTATGTAATATGCAAAGAAATATTATATCTAAGTGGAAACATTATATGAAGAAGAAAAACTAACTCCTCTGCTGATAACCTGCTTTCTGTTGCCCTTTTGGTGAATCATGCCTCCAAAGGTTTCCTCAAGTATGCTTTGCACATCACATTGAACCTGGTCCTCTTCCTCAAAGGGACCAAATATTTGCACTTCTTTCTATTTTCTCTCTGTTCCAGCCTAATTAATTGTTCTCCCCAGAAGGTTACAGAGTCTGTGTAGATTTTTTTTTAAACAAATCAGGTTGTGCCTCTATCTGTCACTGATGTTTTTCTATGTTATCTTGAAGAGATAAGGATCCCCTGAGTCACTCTTCTGTTTTCCTTGGGAGTCTTTGAATTAATTTATTCCCCTAATACTTGCCCAGAGCTGAATGCCTATCTTGCAAAACAGGCCACTGCATTTACAGATGTGCTGCAAAAATAACCGATAAGATTTTAACTGTCTCTGGTCCTTTTCATTCAAAAATGTGTGCATTTTGCTTTGTGCTACAAGTGTTCTATGCTTACAAGTAAATAGAAGTTGGAGATTCTTTTTCCTGACTCTCAAAGCACACAGATTTCTCGAAGCAATCCAGAAGAAGATAATGAGAGCAGGATATGGAAACTCTCTGTGTTATGGGGCCGCAAGTAAAGCAGGCTGAGTGGACATTATCCTATAGTTCCGATATAGTACTTGAGGGAACTTTGTACTGCCATGCAGTACATGATGCATGAGAACAAACTGGGTAGACAGAGAAGAGGACAAAATGCAGACTGAAGAACAAAGGGATAGACACAGTGAGGCAGTTGCCCAATGACTCTTGAAACAATTCTACACTTGGACCTTATTGAACTCATCACAATTTGCTCAGCATTTTCCTATTTGCAAGGCACTGGGAAGACTCTACTCCCCCAGCGTCTGGTCATGATCATACTATTCAGCAGACACCTATTGACCCCTAGGTATTTTCCTGAATATTAATATGGAATGGATGCTCTCTGTGCTCATTGCTTTTTCTTCACTGTAAGAAATGCCTGAGGTAACTTTTAAAGTTTCATTTTTTACTACCTAATAGATTTATCTGCTTCAATTCCACATCTCAGCCCCTTCTTCTTCTCTTCCCTCCTAATCACCTTCCCCCACCTCCAGATACAGACCTCTCCTGGCACATGAAGTCTCATTCGGACTAAGTGCATTCTTTCCCACTGAGGCTAGACAAGACAGCCCAGCTAGGGGAAAGGGATCCAAAGGCAGGTAAAAAAGTCTGAGTTAGAGACAGCATCCATGCCAGTTGTTGGAGGACCCAGATATCTGCTACATATATACTTGCAGCCTCGGTCCAGTCCACGCAAGCTCTTTGATTGGTGGTTCAGTCTCAAAGAGGACCCAAAGGAGGATGCTATAATTTTCTTTACACTTACTGTGACCTTCAAGCCTCCTACTTATTAAGGTTTCTTGGCTTTTGTTTTTTGTTTTTGTCAACTTTCAAGAGCATCTCTGCTGAGGACCAAAGCTTTACTATCTGGACCTTTGCCTGTGATAGGGGATTGGTTGGTTGTTTTAATGAAAATGCCCTCTCTAGGGCTTACATATTTGAATACTTTCCCTCCAGTTGGTAAAAATGTTTGGAATTGATTAGGAAGTATGGCTTTGTTGGAAGACATGTGTTGCTAGAGTTAAATTTTGAAGGTTTTAAAGCCCAGGCCTTTCCCAGTTGAAAGGAAAGCTGGGCTTACCTCACAGAGTTTCCTATCTACAAAGGATATTGTACTAGATTTTAAAAGTGAGACTGGTATCAGGGGATAAAGTCAGCTGTGAACAGGGTGGGTTTGAATGCTCACCCAGGTGACTTTGTGGAATAGTGGCTAAGGTGTGCAGTCTTCAGTAAGGAGAAGAGATTTTAGAGCATCAATTATGTCCTTTCTTCCTGAGTCTCATTTGTCCCACAAATATGGTTGTCGCTATTTCATGGTTAATAACCCAATGAGCATTATGTTTTAGAAAATAACTAATTTTGTGGGGTTTTACAAATACTGGAAAGAAAAACATGTTATCTTGTGTGTATATAGGAATATACATATTAGACCCAAAACATCATTCTGCACATCTTAAAAAATAAAAAGAAAATATCCAATAAAATCTTATAGGGTCTGGAGAGATTGCGCAATGGGTAAAGCAATTGCCACACAAATGTGATGAGTAGAGTTTTAATACCTAGCACGTCCTTAAAGGCTAGACACTCATGGATCCAATCTCAGAACTTGGGTGGCAGCAAGACAGGGTTCTGGAAGTTCAGTGAAAGGTCTTGCCTCACTAATAAAAATGGAGAGCAGTCTGAAAAGGTGTCTGATATCAACTTCAGAACTCCACATCCACACACACATGCACATGTACCCATACACCAGCCTGAGCCTTTAATCATGCACACAGAGGACAAACACATGCAAAAATTATATTTCAAGACAATAAAATGGGGAAGAAATGTGGCTAAATATAATAGTCCAACATGAGAGAACAGTGGCAGTTCTGAAAAAAAAAATCTCCATGCCTCCCTCCAAAGAAATGTGAAGATTTTTACAGAGCAATGAAGAAAATGCACTAACTTCCATCTAGGAATAATGTCATTGTGCATTATCACAAAAACAGAATGAGACTGCTTCACTTTCACAGCAGATGGAACAATAAAATTGAGGCTGTGCATTCGAAGTGCCTTTCCTTAAAAGAGGGAGGAAAAAAAAATAGATGAGTTCAGCCACACTGCTGAACCTGACCAAAGATACCAAAGATCTAAACTCAACATATTTTATAAGGACCAATAGAGTTTCCATTCTGTGGCATATTATAAGCTTTTGTCTCTCTCACCAGCCATCCATTGTAAGTTCTCCATGTCCGATTTACTAAGCTAGAATATCTTGCAAGCATTCATAATCTACTGCAGTATCAATGACTGAGATGTATGCTAAGTTGTAAGGAAGAGAGAGAGGAGGGAATTATCCATTTACATGTTTAACATTTAGGCTCATATTTTCAATGTGTTTTGACATCTGTACCTTTGGTTGACATTGGTGTGTGTATGTGTGTTTGTGTGTAGGGGATGCATGTATATATCCATGGCCTCTTCTTTAATTGCTTCTCTACCTTATTTCTTAAGACAGAGTCTCTTGTAAAAGCTGAAGTTCTTGGTTTCAGCTAGGATGTATAACCAGATACATCTAGGAATCAACTTACCTTCTTCAGAAAATGCTAGGCCAGAAAGTGCCTCCATCACTTCTGGGTTTCACTAGGGTATTGGCTTTAATCTTTGGTTCTAGTGTTTGTATAGCAAGTGTTTTACTCACCTCATAGAACTATCTGTCCAGCCATGCAGAATGTGTATATAAACATGAAAACCCATTTTATACCAACATGCCTGCATCTATGACATCAGCCTATGATCACCTTTTATATTCCCTCTGTATTTATTCTCCATTTCAGAGAAAGAGGGCCTTGAGTTTGTTTTCTTTTATTAGCTGTGGATGCCATTTCTCTTCCTTTCAATTTAATGGTGATAGGATCTGTGCCATGGTAGGATCAGCTATGGTTGGGCTGGCTGCCCAGTATTCCTGACAAATCTAGAGAATTTCACCAGTATTAGGCAATATTCCTCTGGATTTTCATCCAAGATAGTTCTATAAATTTTAGTTTCCTCGTATTTTCAGAAAAATCCAGGTATTCCTTCATTTTGCTTATGTGTATATGAGTCCATTAGCTAGGATGCTCAGTCATCTACTCCAGTCCTAACAAGTCTTCCAAGAAAAGTATATTCATATGGCCTTAAGCTCTTCTCTTCCAAAGTACCCTGCTGCTCCACAGGAGACTAATCTGGGTACTCTCCTATGATATCCAACATGGGTCCTGGATCAGTGTCCTTTTGCTTCCACCTTTTTATTCCACAGGCAATAGCTGTAAGAAGAGAATACAGGAAGGAATTATTTCACTTGTATTTGTTTGGATTTTGCATTTTATTTTTAAGTTACAACTATTTCTATATGTGTGTCTAGAGATAGACAGGGATTGCTTCTCTCCTTCCTGTGGGTGGTGGTTTTGAACTCAGGCCATCAGACTTTCCTAGCAAGCACCTTTACCCACTGAGATGAAGGGCTTTCTTCAAAGCATCTTTGAATAACTCGTACAAGTGGGGATACTTTTTCTAATG